AAGCCCTGGCTGCTGAAGCCGAAGGTGCAGTGTTCGGAGTAGGTGGGCACCCCAGCCGGCGTGATGATCTTGTGCGTCTTAGAGGAATGATCCTGGCCTGAGTTCAGATATAAGCACCGCTCCCATTTGCTGTGCATCTTTGGCGGGCGGTGACGGTGACGGAAGCCGGGCATCATGAACGGCAGAAGCACTCGGATCCTCCTCCTGCCGTACAGCTTAACTTCCGGGCACCGCTTGTCTTCCTTGCTCACCTCCGCTGCGATGTTCAGAGAGTCGTTCATCCACGCGAAGGCCTCGGGCCAGATGGCCCGGAAGGACAGCGCCTTGGTCGGGAACATAACTCCGGGGAAAAGCTTCGGGAACTCCAGAAACGCAGCCTTGCCCCCCTCCATCACTAGTGCAATCCTCCGCTCCACACGACCGTTGCTCTTGGGCCCGTCGACCGCCGTGAGCTCCCGCGTAATGTTCAGCTCCGCCAGCAGCCCCCGAAACTCCGCGTTGACCCACTCCGTGCCGTTGTCGGTCAGAACACAGCCCAGCCCCCCGTGAGTAGCCAAGAGCGATTTGATGGAGGCATACCACGCACGAAAGGCCGCAACCACGTTTGTACTGCTCTTCTCCCGCAGAAAGCAAATCCATCCGTAGTTGGTATGGTGGTCCAGGATCTGCATCACGTACTTGGCACCGCCGCTGGATTGGCCGAACGGACCGGCTAGGTNTAGAATACAGCCCAGCCCCCCGTGAGTAGCCAAGAGCGATTTGATGGAGGCATACCGCGCACGAAAGGCCGCCACCACATTTGTACCGCTCTTCTCCCGCAGAAAGCAAATCCATCCGTAGTTGGTATGGTGGTCCAGGATCTGCATCACGTACTTGGCACCGCCGCTGGATTGGCCGAACGGACCGGCTAGGTCCATCGCGACACGCTCAAGAGGCCGCGTCGTCCGGCGGGAGGGGGAGACGACCTTGGGGACCGAGCGCTGGATTGCCTTCGACTCCGTACATCCATCGCAGTACTCCGAAGTGTCGGAAACCTTGATACCCATCTGCTTGGCAGTCTCGTACAGCGTCTTGGAATTGGCATGACCGAGGGAGCAGTGAAGAGCGTTGTAGTCGATGCTGGATTGCGTGCCAGGCCGTAGCATCGCCGCAACCATCGCGGGGGGCTGAGGAGGTGAGTCGCGTTGAGGCAGTGGATCAACGCGAGTCCCCTGGATGTAATTCCCGTGAGAGAATTTTGTCATGCGCACTCGCCCCCCCAAGATCGATGCTCCATGCCGGTTAAGCTTGATCTCATGGCGATCCTGGATCTTGTTCAGCGACAGAATATCTAGCGCCAAACCCGGTACCACACCAACATTCTGCAGGGTGACGCGCACGTCCTCAGGGCAGTGGAAGATCACATCCAAGTCACCGAAAAACTCTACCGGGATGTGCTTACCGTCGCCAAGCATGAGTAGTCGCTCCTCCGGGAGCGGCGGGCGCCTGTTGTACACCTTTTCCCCAGAAGGGACCACGTGGACTACGGCGCCNTGCGTTGTAGTCGATGCTGGATTGCGTGCCAGGCCGCAGCATCGCCGCAACCATCGCGGGGGGCTGAGGAGGTGAGTCGTGTTGAGGCAGTGGATCAACGCGAGTCCCCTGGATGTAATTCCCGTGAGGGAATTTTGTCATGCGCACTCGCCCCCCCAAGATCGATGCTCCATGCCGGTTAAGCTTGATCTCATGGCGATCCTGGATCTTGTTCAGCGACAGAATATCTAGCGCCAAACCCGGTACCACACCAACATTCTGCAGGGTGACGCGCACGTCCTCAGGGCAGTGGAAGATCACATCCAAGTCACCGAAAAACTCTACGGGGATGTTCTTACCGCCGCCAAGCATGAGTAGTCGCTCCTCCGGGAGCGGCGGGCGTCTGTTGTACACCTTTTCCCCAAAGGGACCACGTGGACTACGGCGCCGGTGTCTCCAAGGAAGACCGTCGAACCCGGGCGATGTGGGAAAAGGTCGGATGGTTCGCGCACGGGGGGGGATGAGGTAACGGAACAGACAAGGTGCATCGCGAAGAGACCGCCACCGAAGGTACCCTCGCCGT